GTAGTGAAAGAATCGCTCGATCGGGTTCAGTTAACATCCATCGATCGATCGCTCAGGTTCAGTAACGCGTAGCCTATAGTGCAATCGCTCGGGTTCAGTTAGAGCCCAACGCCTCGCTCGGGTTCAGTTAGAGCCAACGCTTCGCACACACGCGCGCACGTGTATGAGAGAAACGCGCATCGCTCGGCCCCGACCTCCCACCGTAACCGGGAACTCCCCGAAATTTTCCTCCCCCTCGCTTCTACCACGGTTTTTCCCGTCATGGACGGCCCAAAGAATGTTATGCAGCTGCGTCTCCGGCCCGCCCAGGACGAAAAGCCCATTTTCTGTCATGATTTTTTGTCATAGAAGTAGGAGCCCACCACATCTATGATGATACTGGGTTTTGTCACAATTATCATCATAGAAGTGTCATATGTATGACAGAAAAAAATTCGTTCGTCCCAAAATGTCACGGATGTGTCTTTTTTTTGTAGTGTGTCTCAGCACGAAGAACTTTCGCAACGGTGCATACTCAGGGAGAACACTTATACTTTGATAATTTAGTGAGGGATCATCTTATAATGCTACCGTCAATCAAAGCAAGATAAGATGCATAAAAGATAAACATCACATGCAATCAATATAAGTGATATGATATGACCATCATCATCTTGTGCTTGTGATCTCCATCTTCGAAGCACCGTCATGATCACCATCGTCACCGGTGCGACACCTTGATCTCCATCGTAGCATCGTTGTCGTCTCGCCAATCTTATGCTTCTACTACTATCGCTACCACTTAGTGATAAAGTAAAGCATTACAGGGCGATTGCATTGCATACAATAAAGCGACAACCATATGGCTCCTGCCAGTTGTTGATAACTCGGTTATAAAACATGATCATCTCATACAATAAAATTTAGCATCATGTCTTGACCATATCACATCACAGCATGCCCTGCAAAAACAAGTTAGACGTCCTCTACTTTGTTGTTGCAAATTTTACATGGCTGCTACGGGCTTAGCAAGAACCGTTCTTACCTACGCATCAAAACCACAACGATAGTTTGTCAAGTTGGTGCTGTTTTAACCTTCACAAGGACCGGGCGTAGCCACACTCGGTTCAACTAAAGTTGGAGAAACTGACACCCGCCAGCCACCTGTGTGCAAAGCACATCGGTAGAACCAGTCTCGCGTAAGCGTACGTGTAATGTCGGTCCGGGCCGCTTCATCCAACAATACCGCCGAACCAAAGTATGACATGCTGGTAAGCAGTATGACTTATATCGCCCACAACTCACTTGTGTTCTACTCGTGTATATGACATCTACGCATAAAACCTGGCTCGGATGCCACTGTTGGGGAACGTAGTAATTTTAAAAAATTTCCTACGCACACGCAAGATCATGATGATGCATAGCAACGAGAGGAGAGAGTGTTGTCCACGTACCCTTGTAGACCGAAAGCGGAAGCGTTAGCACAACGCGGTTGATGTAGTCGTACGTCTTCACGATCCGACCGATCAAATACCGAACGCACAGCACATCCGAGTTCAGCACACATTCAGCCCGATGACGTCCCTCGAACTCCGATCCAGCCGAGTGTTGAGGGAGAGTTTCGTCAGCACGACGGCGTGGTGACGATGATGATGTTCTACCGACGCAGGGCTTCGCCTAAGCACCACTACAGTATTATCGAGGTGGACTATGGTGGAGGGGGCCACCGCACACGGCTAAAAAAAATCAAATGATCAATTGTTGTGTCTCTAGGGTGCCCCCTGCCCAGGTATATAAAGGAGCAAGGGGGGAGGTGCGGCGGGCCTAGAGGGGGCGCGCCAGGAGGAGTCCTACTCCTACCGGGAGTAGGACCCCCTCCCTTTTCCTTGTTGGACTAGGAGTGGAGGGGAAAAGAGGAAGGAGAGAGGAAGGAAGGGGGGAGGGGCGGGCGGCCCTGCCCTGGCCGCCTCTCCTCTTCTCCACAAGGCCCACTATGGCCCATTAAGCTCCCGGGGGGTTCCGGTAACCTCCCAGTACTCCGGTAAAATCCTGATTTCACCCGGAACACTTCCGATATTCAAACATAGGCTTCCAATATATCAATCTTCATGTCTCGACCATTTTGAGACTCCTCGTCATGTCCGTGATCACATCCGGGACTCCGAACAACCTTCGGTACATCAAAACATATAAACTCATAATATAACTGTCCTCGAAATGTTAAGCGTGCGGACCCTACGGGTTCGAGAACTATGTAGACATGACCGAGACACGTCTCCGATCAATAACCAATAGCGGAACCTGGATGCTCATATTGGCTCCCACATATTCTATGAAGGTCTTTATCGGTCAGACCGCATAACACCATACGTTGTTCCCTTTGTCATCGGTATGTTACTTGCCCGCGATTCGATCGTCGGTATCTCAATACCTAATTCAATCTCGTTACCGGCAAGTCTCTTTACTCGTTCCGTAATACATCATCCCGCAACTAACTCATTAGTTGCAATTCTTGCAAGGCTTAAATGATGTGCATTACCGAGAGGGCCCAGAGATACCTCTCCGACAGTTGGAGTGACAAATCCTAATCTCGAAATACGCCAACCCAACAAGTACCCTCGGAGACACCTGTAGAGCACCTTTATAATCACCCAGTTACTTGTGACATTTGGTAGCACACAAAGTGTTCCTCTGGTAAATGGGAGTTGCATAATATCATAGTCATAGGAACATGTATAAGTCATGAAGAAAGCAATAGCAACATACTAAACAATCGAGTGCTAAGCTAACGGAATGGGTCAAGTCAATCACATCATTCTCCTAATGATGTGATCCCGTTAATCAAATGACAAACCATGTCAATGGCTAGGAAACTTAACCATATTTGATCAATGAGCTAGTCAAGTAGAGGCATACTAGTGACACTTTGTTTGTCTATGTATTCACACATGTATTATGTTTCCGGTTAATACAATTCTAGCATGAATAATAAACATTTATCATGATATAAGGAAATAAATAATAACTTTATTATTGCCTCTAGGGCATATTTCCTTCAGTTGTTTAGGTTAGTTTTTTTCCTGATAGGGGCGACATTATGTGGTGGCAATGCTTCATCTTCGAGCCGCTCTTTCGTGCTTTGATCCTCCTTGTGTTCGTCCATTAGGACGAGAGCATTGGCGTAGATTAGTACCCTTTTTTTTGAACGGCGAGGTTAAGGTTTCTTGCCTATGTGCACGGCGGCGAGATTTGGTGCCAGGCACTTCAAAACGATTCAATGGTTCAATGGCAATAATTGCGGCTGTGACTTGCTGATTTTTAGTGGCACGTGCGTGAAGTCTTGCCGGTTCTCATAGACAAGATCAATCCGACTCCGGTAGCGGAGCGACGACATCGGCACACGGTGGCTCATTCGCGGCGATAGTGGTTGTCCTTTGGTGCACTGTACACGATGTATTTTTTTAAACAAATGATTTTTCCAACATGTATTTAAAAAAAATTTACACTATATATCTACAAAATGTACACTGTGCATTTTAATAATATCCAACATGTATTTAAAAAATTTTGAACGGGTACCTTGAAATGTTTGATTTGATTGACAAAAAACATTCATTTTTATTAAAATCAAATCGATATATATATATATATATATTCAAAAATGAAAAATAAAAGGAAAAAAAATGAAAAAATAAAAATATAAGCGTTAAAAAAACACAGAAAAAAGGTACAGCACCGTGTCTTTACTCGCGCGGCGTTCTGACCCAGTTAAGCCTACGCCCGCCTTGATCGGTTCTTCTACAACGAAACCTGGGCTCAAAATAAAAATGAAAAATAAATGCTAAAAACAAAGCTCGGTCGATTTTCCGGAGGAGTTTTTTGGGCGAGATGACCTGCGGCGGCCTCCCAAGCTCGACGGCGCCGGCGCCGATGCCGACGGTGGCGGCCCCGCTGGAGGACGAGAACCTCCTCCCGGAGATCCTCGTCCGCCTAGCCCGGCTGCCGTCCGCCCTCCCGCGCGCCTCCCTCGTCTGCAAGCGCTGGCGCCTCCTCGTCTCCGACCGACGCTTCGTCCGCCGCTTCCGCGCCCACCACCTCCGCAGTCCCCCTCCCCTGATCGGATTCTTCGAGGAGGTCACCCGCGAGCCCTCCCCGGACTCCCCCAGCAGCCTCTTCTTCACCCCGATCCTGGATCCCCCCAACCGCGTCCCGGTCAGCCGCTTCTCCCTGAGCTTCCGCAACGGCGACGGCCGCACGATCCTCGGCTGCCGCGACGGTCTCGTGCTCCTCGTCGACGCGGGGGGTGCCGAGATCGAGGTCCTGGTGTGGGACCCCATCACCGGCGACCAGCACCGCTTCGTCGTCCCTCCGGCGATCGACGAGCGCCAGGTCATCGAGATCTTAAACGGCGCGGTTCTCCGCACCGCCGGGATCCTCGACGACCGCCCATTCCGGTTCCATGTGGTCTTGGCGGGCATCGACAGGCCAAACAAGCGGCTGTTCGCCTGCGTTTACTCGTCGGAGGCCGGCAAATGGGGTGATCCAATCTGGGTATCCGTGGATTCCGAGAGCGACGTTCGCACCACGGTTTCGATGCGTGTTTCGAGTACCCTGGTTGGGAATTCCCTCTACTGGTCGCTGAATGGGGATACTGCTGCCATCCTTCAGTTTGATTTGGGCACACAACGCCTGGCTGTGATACCTCTGCCACTGGATAAGTGCAGCGATGGCAGCCGCTCCTTCCGGGCTATGCCCGTGGACGGTGGCGGGCTTGGCATCCTTGAGCTGTTGGATTTCAACATCCAATTGTGGAAAAGGGAGATCGACCGTGACGGTGTTGTTTCATGGGTGCTGGGGAAAACTATTGAATTGGATCAGCTTCTTTCCCTGGACAAGAGGGGAATGAGTCCAATGATGCTGGGGTATTGCGAGGTCAATAATGTGGTGTTCCTAAGGACAGTATTCAGTATTTTCTTGGTCCAGCTTGAGTCATTGAAGTTCAACAAGCCGCCCATACAGGCATCTTACTTCTTGGTTCATCCATTCACAAGTGTTTATACTGCAGGTAATAACAAAGTAGGAGTACTTTTCTACAATTGATTGATGGAAAGCTTTTCACATCCTTGGCGTTAGACTAATATAATAACATAAATTAAATATGTGTCAACAGTTCCTTTTGCCGCTAAATGTGCTATTGAACATATTGCCATGTTGCTTATGATATTATTTTTATGATTTTCAAACATTTTATTAGAGGTCAGAGGTCAGAGGTAGCAAGCATTTTATGTAAGTTTATTAGATGAAGAAAAATATAGATTAAAACCATGAATGTAAAGATAAAACAAAGCTAAATTTCACTGCTACCTTTCTATTGTGTTATACAAAAGACGTATAATGCCAGTGATTGTGTTTCACGCACTGAGATGGAAAACAGCTGGAAATTGGAAAGCTGAAATGTCCAAATGGTAGCTCAATATACATTTAAAGGCTTAAAACTAGTTACATCCTTTGACCCAATGTTTATTTATTTTAATCTTGCTAACTTCAATCCATAATAAAGGCTTGATTTGATCTGTACGAGATAATAGTTCATTTTTATCACTTGTTGATGACTCGCAAGCGTCAGAGTCTACTTGTACCAGAGGATAAATGAATTGAGTTTGTTTTATCTTTTCAAGCTAAAGTTATTCAAATATGAATTATCATTATTCTTTGTTCTTAAAATTTATTGGTTTGAATATATTATACTTCAGATAACACGGGAATAGCTCTAGATCACTTCTTCATTCTGATCAGCTAATATTATGTGCATGCCATTCCATTTTAGGGGATTACTGAGTGTATATACCATTCTCAGAAATATTCTTTGCAAGGCAGTAGATGTGCTTTTGTTTATCTATTCCAATGCTGAAACATGTGTTTTTCCTCTCTCAATTTTGGCTTATCTAAATATATCGCTGTTATCCCATCGTATCTTTGGTTCTTTGGCTTATGCTTGTAGACATGGGCATTGGTGGTGGACCTGATGAAGCCAAACTTCTGTGTAATGCAATGCATAAGGTGACTGTATTGTGATACATTGGTTGAGCAGGTAATGTAAGCTTATCTTTGTATTTTCATTTGAGGGATCATAACTGGTACCTTTTGTTTTTGTTACAAAATGCCCCCTTTACAACCATTTGTGAATAACCAAATTACAAGTGAGGATTCTCACTGTGGTTCACGCAACCTATTGTTGAAACTTGAAAGTAGGCCGCCATCTCTCTGCCTCCACTTTGATCTTGGTTACTCTCGCCTTAGAAAGCGCTGGTCCACGCATAAATTCCTGTGCTGGTCCTTGTACACCTGCTTCTTCCTTGATAGCCACCACTGCTGCATACTGTCATGAGAATGAGATCGCAGTCTTGCTTCAGTGGCCAGCCCAGTGAGGATTGCTCAGCCAAATCTGGCAGATCTATGGGCATCACACAGGAAAATGCTTGGCCATCTCCTGATGCTGCTACAGTGGAGGACATGTGCCCAGATTTTGAGGTAGTGGTGCTCGAGGCTGTTGCCTGTTGGCAGTCCAACAGCGATGCTGAAGGGCAAACCAAATGAAGAACCGGCATTTCAGAGTCAACTTCGCCTTCCAGAGGACCTTTTGGCAGCTGCCATAGCTTAATGCTGTAGTGAGTTCAGAAAAGCAGCGTCCATTTTGGCCTGAAGGAAGTGTCTTTATAATAGGATGCATAATCCCTTGCTAGAGGCTTCTACCACATGGTGGTTGATCTAAACCCGTTAATTAGTAAACGACTATTTCTTACATTTCTAAAACATGTGCCTTTGAGCCACAAGGCAGATGCATCTGCTTTCAACACCATGAAGCAAAGACTTTTTTTTTCCTTTTTGAACTTCTTCTGATTTTGCTGCCGGTTTGATTCTACTTTGGAGGTTTGACATAAGTTCCACAGTGAGATGACTTTGATGTTTATGTTTAGCAATACAAAACTTTGTGAGGTGGTATAACTTTAATGGCTTTTGCATCATCAACCGGTGGTAAAATTGTGTATTACCAGTGACTGTTTCGCAGGTATGTGAGCTCTCATTCAGTTGCTGAGCAGCTGCTGAATGACTTTACCGGCGCAGGTCCCGTCAGTGCGGAAGTTTATTTTCTACGGAGCATGTTCTGGTCAACTGCGAAGAGTAGGATTTATTTGTCCGGTCTGGTAGCTCATTGTGTCACCTAAATATAATTGTAGGCATCAACCAACTGGCATGATGACAAGCCGTGACTTGGCCGCACTAGTAAATAATCCAGCTAGCGGCTGATTATTGCCTCCGGTTTCATTTTCTTTGTCGTCCGAGCAAATCCCACAGATTTCATGGTTGGTACTCTGGTGCATTCTGTGCTATCGCTCGTCTACTTATTTGGTACTGTTATCCTTTTGTTTATGCTCCGTGGTTCCGCGTTGTATGCGGCGTGGAGATTTAATTCTTGAATTTCTGCTACTGGTACCAAAATGTTGAATTGATTTACTTGAGAAAGATGAAGCGTCTGCCTAAGATACGTCGATAGAAAATGTCCGTATATATATAAATGAATGGTCATGTGTTTCAAAAAGCTCTTGTATTTTTTTAAGTTTGTGTCTAGAAAAAAAATCATATGTTAGAAAATAAATTTTTGAAAATTACTCATGCATTAGTAAGAAATGCCTATGTATAAAAAATAAAATAAAAATTACGGATTTTTTTTGGGGAAAAGTAAAAACGAAAAAAAGGTGAAAAAGGAAGATAAACAGAAAAGAAGAAGAAACAAAATAACATTTTTTTTGGAGCTAAGGAAACAAAATAACCGGGCTGAAAAGAGGATAGGCCGGCCCATGCGCGCACGCGCGGTGCAGAAGGCCCACCCGGCTAGGGTTAAGTAGGACGTATAGAGCCCCCCTCGCCAACCGTCGTCTCCGGGACCGGCATCTTCCACACGCCGCCGCCGTCGCAAACCGGAGAGCGAGACCGACTGCGCGCGCAGCACCACCGCCGCCGCGATTTTCGATTGGTTTGTTCCTCGCCTGTGCTCCCTCTTTTACCTTAACTCCATGGGTATCGTCTTCCTGGCTGCAATAGTAGCCAGTGCTACTGCCATAAAAAAGAAGAGCCGCCCGCAACTGCGCCTGGAAAATTGATGATGTAGAAACAACGCCGTGCTTGCACTGTTTTATTCTGTATCTTCGTGCTATTATGAAATAAAGATGCATTCAGAATCGTATCTATTTCGAGTTCCTTTTATGCCATGTCCGTCCATGGACGCTGTTGCTTTCCTGTGGAAGGTTCAGCCACTGTATTTTACTCTTTACCATCCATGCTGGAGCTTGCCATGGATGGACGCATTCACAGCATAATACTCTGGTGACGCATGCCTCTGTTTGAAATGTTGATGGACTTGTCTGTTGTTATTATGCATGCTTCGTTCTGAATTGTTTTTTAGGAAATTCAGGCATGCTCAAAGTTACAGTTGCTATCACAGTCATGTAGGTATAATTTCCTTACCAGTTACTAGTACAGCTTCTTTGATTAGTTCCTCGCCAAGATTCAGCAGCGTTCTGTGTCATCATCTATCATCTAGACGCTAATTTATTATGTCCGACATGGATGGTTTAAAAGCAACTTGTTTCTCTTCCTTGAAATGCTTTTTTCAGCTGTTGGACAATCAGATGAGCAAGATGGTGGCGATCAGGGTTCCCAGGAACATGCGAGCCAAGCGCGAACTCCTCAAGCACGCGCCCAAGCTTGTAAGCTTTTTTTTTTTTGAATGTCAAGCTTTCTTTTTCTTTGACCCTTTTTTCTATTTCAGCTGTTTCAAAATTTCCTTCAGTTTAATTTGCAGTACCAGAAACACACCGCCTCCCGTTGAATTATTATAAACACGGCACCCCTACAATAAGCGTAAATCATCATTATCTTGTGTGTGAAGGGGAGCCTTGGCGCAGTGGTAAAGCTGCTGCCTTGTGACCATGAGGTCACGGGTTCAAGTCCTGGAAACAGCCTCTTACAGAAATGTAGGGAAAGGCTGCGTACTATAGACCCAAAGTGGTCGGACCCTTCCCCGACCCTGCGCAAGCGGGAGCTACATGCACCGGGCTGCCCTTTTTCATCATTATCTTGTGTGTCCGTGGCCAAGCGAAAACTGGTATCTTCCAGCAATTTCCCAAATTAGTTTCAACTAGTGTGCTGCACCAGTGTACTTTGGGGCCGAGTTACACGCAAAAGGGTTGGCCAGACTTTCTGGCACATGTTATATGCTTTGTGCATATAACCACTTGCAAATCTTGACATTAGTTTCTATTGGAAGGCTCTGCTGCTTTATAACCTTCCATGACAAGAAACTATAAATAGCATGTACGCGTTTCTTTTCGATTCCTGTATCAGACTGTTGCTCTAATGTTTGTTCCAGGTTGAGAATGGCAAGAAGATGCTTATTCTACATGGTACAAAGACTAGCACAGTTTTGAACGATGTGCTCGCAGATCTTTTTCACCTGAAGCGTGATCATGCTGTGAAGTACACCAAGAAGAACGACAACATCAGGCCATTTGAGAGCGGGGGTGAAACTTCCCTGGAGTTCTTCTCCCTTAAATCTGACTGCAGCCTCTTAGTGGTAAGTTATATCAGTTCCCATTGTGTAAGTGGTGAGACTTGTTACTCACTTCAGAAAAAAATATATTAAACCGATGATCGCAGAAGTAGACTGAGCTAGGCAATGACTCATCTGAAACTTTTTCCATGTCTGTTATGGTGACCTGTTCATTTTTTTTCTTTGTATATTAAATGTAGAGAATATTATTCTCTATTAATTTTAACTGTAACTATTTATGTTTTTGCAGTATGGTTCTCATTCAAAGAAGAGGCCCAACAATCTTGTTTTGGGAAGGACTTACGATCACCACATATACGACCTTGTTGAAGTAGGAGTTGAGAACTACAAATCCATAGAATCCTATGCATATGATAAAAAGTTGGCGCCTAAACTTGGGACCAAGCCTTTCTTTGCCTTCATTGGGGAGCACTTTGAGAGTGTCGATGAGCTGAAGCATTTGAAGGAAATGCTCCTTGATCATTTCAAAGGAGAGGTGTGCATCTTTATATAAGTTAGAGAGTAGGGCAGGGATAATCCCTTGAGCTTAATTTAGTAACCTGTTTATTGTTGATACAGGTGGTAGAGAACCTGAACCTCGCTGGTGTAGATCGGATATTCGTGTGCACAGCAATTTCCCCTACTACTGTCTACATGATGCATTGTGCTCTCCGTCTAAAAAGGTCAGGCACATCTATTCCTAGGATGGAGCTGGTTGAAGTCGGTCCTTCAATGGACCTGGTAGTTAGGCGGCACCAACGTCCATCTGAAAGTTTACAGAAGGAAGCTATGAAGGCTCCTGGTCATGCTAAGAAGGTAAATCCAATGGAACAGCTGTCTTTTGTTCATCAGATATTGTTATCCTGCTGGTTAGGTTGCAAAATGGCGCCATTAGCCATAAACAACTATACTTCCTGTCCTAATTTTGACACCAATAACTTGTATGCCAGTATGAACTCAGAACTACATTTAACATATTTGCAGGTGAAAAATGTGACGAATAATCCAATTGATGGCAAGGAGGGCAGGATCTACATTCCAGACCAGGAGGTTTGTGTCTCTAAACTGTTTCACTAGCAGCTGTGAAGCTTAAATATTAACCTATTTGCCACACTAATCCGATTCATGGTTTTCTGACCGAAAGGTTTCGAAATTGACCTTAACAAGCGACATAAAGGGCCTGAAGCGGGAGCGCCGTGAAGCCAAGAAAAACAAGGAGAATTCGAAGAAGCAAAAGGTCAACCCCGAGTGAATAACGCAGAAGGCTACTCATTCTTGGTAACTGGTCATTTTTAAGGATTTTTGGTGCACCTGACGATCGCAGCGGCTGTGTTAAGCCAACTGGAGACCAACTTGTTAGGTTGAGCTGTAAATAGTGCGGTACCGTCTTTTTAGGCCGTAAAACCTGTCTACGGACTTCTGCATCTGTGTTGAGGCAGCTTATCTATCAGACATTATTAGTGCGAAATTTTTGGAGCAACGTGTGTTACGAGTATTTTGTTTTAGTATTGTTGTTAGTCCTTGATATTAGCTGATCTGAGATGATTGTTGAGATGGCATGGTTTAAGTCTGGTTACCATGGCCATTTTCTTTTCTGAATCTGTATATCCTGCATTTTTGTCGCCTTTTCTTTTATGCATATGTTTTTTTAAATCCTGTAGCCCTGTGAATATGCAGCTTGTCCGTGTTTTAGTGCTTGGGTTCACGTGAGCTACAAAAAAAAGTGAAAATCATTTGTTTTATATAGTATAAACAGTAAACACATTGTTCACTCTTTCAAAATCACCAATTTATCATTTTTTTGTGTAGCTCACGTGTCAATGTAGTACTCCCTTCGTTCATAAATATAAGATGTTTTGGGCATTTTAGTATGAACTACATCCGGACTGAGATGAGCAATGGCAATGTAGGGAGTTGACCTTGTAGGGTTTTTAGAAGTTGATGAACAAACACACTAAAACTTTTCATTTTTTTTGTGTAGCTCACGTGTCAAAATACATACGAATTGTTCATCATTTTGAATTTTGCTGCTTCTGTCTGGAGCATTTTTCAGAGCAATGGCACTGTAGCAGTGCAGGTGCTAGTAGCTACTACTACTGGTGAAAAGATTCTGGGCTTATACTCTTGGCCATGGCACCCAGGTCAGGTGATTGATGCCACTATTTTTCTCCTTCCTTCCTTGTCAGTGGATGGCCCCGTTGGGGTTCGGGTTGTCGCCGCCGCTGTCGTTGGCGCCGTCGCTCGCGCTGGCGGCAGGAGGCGTCGGCTGCGCACGGCTGGGCGGCGATGGCACCGCGCCGGCGCCCCCGCCCCATCCCTCCGGTTTGAAGCTGAACGGCATGCCGCCGCCTGGGATGCCTCCCGGCATAGGCATAGGCATGCCGCCGCCGGGGATGCCTCCTGGCATAGGCATAGGCATGCCGCCGCCTGGCATGCCCCCCGGCATGGGCATGGCGGGCATCCCGGGGAGGGCGGGCAAAGGCACGGGCATGGCAGGAATCGGCATCCCGGGCATGCCGCCGGGGTTCGGGAACAGCGGGAACGACGGCATCGTCGACGGCGGCAGCCACCACTTCATGCTGCTGGTGCCGGAACTCACATCGTCCCTTCCCGCCGTCGCCGGTCCCGGGGCAGGCCCGGGCGCGGCTGCGGCGACCGTGGCGTCGTAGGACGCGCCGCGCCCTGGCTCGAACTCCACCCGGCTGATCTCGTCCTCGTAGTCGTCCAAGGACGCGTCCTGCGGCGCGGTCTCCGCGGCGGCCATGGAGCCGAAGGCGAACTCCTGGGCGTACCCCTCGGCGTCGACGTCGTTGTCGTGGAGGACACGCACGCCGTGCCCCCACCCGGCGCAGGCCAGGAGGACGAGGACGCCGAGGAAGACGGACGGCATGCTCTGCTCCATGGCTCGCTCTGTTCTTAGCTCCGTGGGTGCTGTTCTTGCCGGCGAGGAGGTGAGTGGGAGACGCGTGAGCGGTGCAGGTTTTATAGCGTGGTGACTGGTAACTTGGAGCTGGGGGTAGGTTGGATCATGGTGAGCTGCCTGCACTCCGATTTGTAAATCATCTCATGGGTTTTTCCAGCAGCTCCAGGTGCATGCCGGAGGCGTGCAACAGCAACACCACCTGAAAACTAACAACTTGGGTCACCTTCTGACTTCCAAATCCGGTGCTTAACCTGCACCCTTTGACCAGATTTTCGACAGCACGCAAGAAATTTGCGCATGGAGAGCATGAGTGTTCATCGCAATCGCCGAAACTAAAATCACCGCGATCGCAAATTTGGATATGGCAGCAAGCAATTCTCATTCTGACAAAGCACAACGAATCTGAGCTCAACTTCCAATATATGCAGACAACTTATGGTCTCACCAATTTTGTTGAGCAGCATCCCACAAATAACTGGGAGAACAGACGCAAGCGTCGCGGTTAAATTTAAACCAGCGTTCTGGTTCTGTTCAGGAAGCACTTGAGCACACATGCTCTCACATGACACTACAGGCCCGCAGCACACAAACTAGGCAGAAGGGATTTCACTCGATAAATCATGAGTGCCCTCCGATCTAATCTATTCGCTCTTCTTGTTCCTCTTGGTGGGCATCCTGCTCAGGACGCCGCTGTCGAGTTTCTGGTACTGCTCTCGGAGCAGGCCCAGGATGCTGTAGAGGAAGTCGTCGACCTGGTCCTCGTACTTCTCGTACAGCACAGGGAGCGTGTGCGCACAGACGAACCCTGTTCCAGGTGATCAGAAAATGTTTACAAGTTAATACATGCATTCGCAAAACAGGAACAGTATGTTATTTCTCGATGGCAAAAAAAAAGTCAGAGAAATGAGAGGCTACAGCTTCTTACGGTCTTACCAATGTAAATGACAGTCAGGAAGTTGAACCAGCTCCCAGCCACAGAAGCAGCCCACAATCCGACAATTGCCTGAAATAAAACATGGCGTGACATCAAAACATCGCCTGATGATGAACAGCCACAGTATTTCCACATGCAGGATTGATTTTCTTTATACTTTCCTATTTGATGTAATGATCACCAATGACGGAATACACAAGGAACACAGTAAAGCTCTACGTACCAATACAAAATGCTTCAAGTTTCTTTCACAAGACACATCTTGAAGGAAACCAAGGAACTTGTTTACTTGGGCACCGATGGCAACAGCAATGTTCACAAACAGGTCCTCTGGCAACTTAACCCGGGGTATTTCAGAAGACCTACATTGACAAGGCATTTTCTATTATTATTATTGCTATGTTGCTGAAAAGGACACACACTGTGCATACACTTCAAAACTTCCATACCTTGAGAAGTTGGACCAAACAAACTGAACCACCATTCCAAGAACAAGGGCAAATGAAATGATTGTCAAGAAGTGGTAATCAAGCCACTCGAAGAAAACCCAGATAGCTGTCGCGAGACCCAAAACACTGGAAGATATCTTCTTGTTCCTCCATAACAACACATCAGCAGCTACAATGATAAAAGAAAAGCATCAGAAATGCCCACAAGGAGAAAACGTAAGTAAACACATGAGCAGATAAGATGACGTACACTTTCCGCCACCCAGAACTCCATGGAGGGACCTCTGACGACCAAACATCTTGTTCTTCACATCAGCGACTGAACCAGGATCGAACCGGCCAGACCTCTGCTTAGGGAGCTTGTCAGAAATGGTATCCATGATGTTGCTCATGATATTGTCAGACTTCTGCTTAGGGAGCTTGTCAGCAATGGTATCCATGATGTTGCCCATGAGCTTTTCAGCCGTGCTCTCAGAATGTTCCGACATCTTCATGTATTTCGAGCTCACTGTGAAGTAGGATGGTATTATGATCCCGTGATATCCAAGACGTGTATAGGGCAGACCAAGCTGACAAGAGCATATACAGAGAAGCAGGACAGAGAAAAAACATGGTAGTAAAATATATGAGTCTGATCAGAAATCGGACCAATGCAATTTGCTTTGACATACTTTACTGGAAGTTTAGAACCATACATTCAACTTTTGGGCCTAAAGCGTGTAGTACATGCTTATGTTATTACTGTTTGCTAGGACTCTCAGGCTGACTTGTAAGTTATTACTGTTTGCTAGGACTCTCTCTCAGGCTGACTGGTAAGTTGAGTCGGATGCCTGTTTAACAATCAATATTCATTCATTCATGGACCAGCCTTTCATCATTCATTTCTGACCAAAACTTCCATCATAAATGAACAATCTAGTACACCAGGGTACCCCATTCAGGCATGATATATGACCTGACAAACACTTTTTTGAGCAATTATTGTCCAAATATATACTACTACGTACTATTTTTTTTTTTGAATCATGTTAAGCGAGAGAAAAATGACATTCAGTTATGCACCACCAAAATCACTGCAAACACCACCAAAACCGTCCCCTTCAAGGGGATCTAACCAGATAAAGACCGGTACTTTATGGATCAAAAATATCAATCTACAAGTCCTTGGCTTTGTTGCGGAAGCAACCGAGGGCACAATCAGCAGAGAAGGCCGCCCATCTCTTCTTTACCCACAACAGAAGCATATTCAGAGCTCGTCTGCTAATAATCCGGTCAGCAGAAAAGGGACGAAGAAAAACTACACAGGCAAACCATGTTTACCCCGAAAGTTTCTTCTTATCCTAAAGAACTCACGAATCTACCTACCTTTCCGTCCGGCAAAGCCGCTCTCTCTATCGCTTTCAGGAAAAACAACAAACGAGCAAACAGGAAAAGCGGCTCAGATTCCATCCACATCGCCGCAGGAAAAACAACCCAAACTAGCAGCAGAGCCGCCGGAGAGAGACCGTACCGAGGAGGGGCGCGAGGGAGCTCAGCGGGCAGAGAGGCGTCCGCTCCGGCTCCCGCTCCCGGAGTCGATCGCGCGGAGCAGGCGGCGGCGAGCGAGCGAGCGAGAGGAGTGTTGGTGGGGTGGGGTGGGGCTGGGGAGAGTCGCCGCAGCAGAATTATTTGCTATCGGAATCGTGAAATCCCTCTGCAAGGCGCGTGCACAGGTTTGTGCGCGCGTGGGGCTCGCTTACGGGTGGGGCCGCGGGGGTGGGGCGCAAGTCGCGGGCCCGCGCGTAAGGGGATGTCGCCGTCACGGGGGGTCGTTCGGCGGGGCGCCGGTGTGGAGCACGAGGGGCGAGCGGGGCCCGCGCAGGATATTTTGAGTGGCTTTGGTACGTTGAGCAAATCGCCTTGATTGAGTTGGTCAGCATTTGATTCTCTGCTAACTAAAATGAAGCAAAACGTCCGCTGATTTGAAAACGACGATTTAATTGGATTGCGGGCATTGTTTTGCTATCGGAACGCTGTCACGTGGGAGCACATGTTATCCTATAATTAAGTACTCCCTCCCTTCCACTTTTTTTTAAAACATAGACGTCAGAGACGTCCGGCTTTAAATTAATAAAGCCCTCAACATAGACAGCGTGCACAAATGCAACAAACCAAATAAACGAACGAAACCGAAGCTAGTCAACCATGTTCCAAGGCATGCCAAAATGGCGAAGACGACGAAATAGAGTGCATTACATGGCATAGCCAGCCAGACTAACGAGCACGCAGGCTCAAGGGTAACCAAGACCAAAAGAGCTGCTCATCCCTATGAAGCAGCAAACGGAGGTGACGGGGCTCGGGACGCCGAGTACATGGAGCGGAGACGTGCGATAGCTTGTCGATGGAGATCAGAGTCATGTTGTCTTCCCAGCGGTGCCCACTGCTGCAAGAATAAGATGCATTTGAAAATAACATCAGCGGGGTGAGAGGGAAACACTCCATCAATAGTAAACTTGTTACGAATATGCCATAAGGCCCACAACATGGCCGAGGCACACGTCCACATTATCCGACGTAAAGAGCCCGGGATCGAAGATAGGTATGACACAAGCTCAGAGCGTGAGCGTGGATCCCAATCCACCCCAGCGGCCTCACGAACCACGCTCCAAGCAAAGCACGCCAAAGGACACCGGAAGAACACGTGGTCAGCATCTTCCGCGTTATCACACAAAGCGCAAGGGCGGAAGCAGGGCCATTGCACTTAGCAATATTGATAGAGGTAGGAAGGCGATCTTGGCATAATTGCCATAGGAAGACCTTAATCTTTAGCGGGATTCGCGCCTTCCAAAGCCCCGTGGCTGCCATAGGGGCATGGCCGCGGCACAACTCTCTATACAGGGACTTGACAGTGAACCTGCCAGAGCCCGAAAGTCTCCAAGAGACCTCGTCTGCGGAGTCCGACAAACGCACATTCGCTATCAGAGCCCGCAGGCGATCCCACTCTCGCAGCTCCGGCCCCAAAAGTTCCCTTCTGAAGTAGATGGGAGGCGGAGAGGTACTAAGAGCCGAAGCAACCAGTTGGTTGGGCTCAACCGCGATGGAATAGAGAAGGGTGAACTCAGACCAAAGAGGCTGCTGGCCGATCCAAACATCGTGCCAAAACTGTATGGAGCGGTCGTTATTAACCGTGAACCTCGCGCCCCTGGCGAAGTATGGTTTGAGGGATTGGATGGAGGTCCAGAAGGGGGACCCATGAGGTGTTGCCTCAAAGAAATTCCCATGCGGGAAGTACTTGGCACGAAGGAGGTCAATCCAGAGGCCGGTCCCTCCCTGGGACAGCTTCCAGATCGACTTGCACATAAGTGCAATGTTCATCAGCTTAGAGTTGATGATCCCGAGGCCCCCCTGGGCTTTAGGTCTACATACGGCTTGCCACTTAACCATGTGATACTTCCGTTTTGGACCCGCTCCTTCCCAAAAGAAACGTGCCCGCGGTGTGTCTATTTTCGTGTGGACCCCATCAGCCAACAAGAACATACCCATGGCAAACATGGGTAGGGACGAGAGGCTGGAGTTAGTAAGGATTAGTCTTGCCCCTGAAGACATAAATCGACCTCTCCACGGACACACCCGGTCCCCACCTTAGTGTTGAGAGGTTCCCAATCGGCAATCGAGCATTTCTTCTCTGCGATCGGGAGGCCGAGGTAGGTAAACGGAAACTTTCCAAGTTTGCAATTGAGCAAGTTGGCAACCCGCTCACTTTTGGCCGCGTCCATCCCTATGGACACCACTTCACATTTGTGGAAGTTAATTTTTAGTCCGGACATGAGTCCAAAACACAGCAAGATGGCCTTAACCGTTGCAATACTGTGTGCGTCCGGCTCAAAAAGGAGTAGAGTGTCATCCGCATACTGCAGGTGTGACACACCTCCTGGGATCAGGTTACCGACCACTCCCCTGATGTGGCCAGCCGAGCGAGCTTTGTCTAGCATGGCGCCCAAGGCGTCCGCCACAAAGTTGAAGAGCAACGGTGAGGCTGGGTCCCCTTGACGCAGCCCACGCTTGTTGCGGAAGAAGTTCCCTACTTCTCCGTTCACCGCTATCGCCGTTTGGCCTCCCGAGACCAGTTGCATCATACGGTGAACCCAAACCGACGAAAATCCTCGATCCAGAAGGATTTGTCGGAGGAACTCCCAGTTCACTCGATCGTACGCCTTCTCAAAATCTAATTTCAAAAGAATTGCCGGCTGGCGAGTGCGTTTGAGCAAGTGAACGATCTCTTGGAGGGCCAACGGCCCCTCCAAGATGTTGCGACCACGAATAAAAGCCGATTGATTCCTACTAATAATACGATGAGCCACCGGAGACAAGCGCGTAGAACAAGCCTTAGAACAAATTTTAAACGGGACATTGATAAGCGCTATTGGGCGAAAAAGTCTAATGTTGTTTGCGCCCTGAACTTTGGGGATAAGCGAAAGAACCCCAAAGTTAAGGCGAGAGATGTCTACTGTGCCACGCATGAACCCGTTACATACTTCGAAAATAGGGCCTTTGAGTACTTGCCAAAACCTTTTGAACATCGCCATCGGCCACCCATCCGGACCCGAGGTTGTGTCAGATTTCATCCCAAGGGCCGCCTGGTCGATCTCCTGGGGAAGGAAGGCGAGGCCCAAGCCTTCATTCTCCTCGTCCAAGACCCGCAGAACGGGATCCCAAACATCCGACCGCAGCCGAGCCCTGGACTCCTCCCTAGAGCCCATCAACTGGATGTAGAAGTCATAAATGTGACGTACAATATCCTGTTGGCGCAAAAGGAGCCCCTGCTCAGATTGCAGTCTCAGGATGGCGCACTTACGTCGCCGGCCGTTAGCATAGGCATGGAAATATTTTGTATTCGCATCCCCCTTGAGCGTCCACTTGATTCCACCCCGCCTACGCCAGTACTCCTCCTCAGCACGTAGGAGGGACTCAACTTGGGCCTCTACAGCGTATCGCTGAGCCCAGTCTTGCTCCGAGAAGACCTGTGAGTCCGCAGCAGCATCCATACGGGCGAGGTCCGCGACCAAGCGCGCTCGGAGCAGCTTATCCTCACGACCCTGGTTGGCCCCCCAGCCTTTGAGAGCCGCTCGCATCCCCGCCCCTGCGGCAATCCAGAAATCCATGGGCCCTCGCATGTGCCCGATCCGGGCAACACAAGTCTCCCATTTGGAGAGGAAGAGTTGCTCAAATTCCAGGTGCTCAAACCACGCAGTTTCAAAGAAAAACCGTGGGCTTCGTTTTAACCGATCCTCCCCCGAGGAGAGGATTAAAGGGACGTGGTCCGACCCGATCCTCGTTTCTGCGTGTAGGGAGCACATGGGAAAAAGCATTTCCCACTCCGCGGACATAAAAACTCGGTCTAGCACTGACCGAATCGATGTAAGCTACTTGTTTGTCCAAGTGTAACGTGCGCCCACGCGGGCCACTTCCCTAAGGGCCATTGATGCTATCGCGTTATTGAACATGGACACCCTTG